AGAAGAAGAAGAAGAAGAAGAAGAAGAAGAAGAAGAAGAAGAAGAAGAAGAAGAAGAAGAAGAAGAAGAAGAAGAAGAAGAAGAAGAAGAAAAATGAGAAATCAAAGAGAGTCTTTCTTGTTAATTTATTTTTGTTTCATAACCTCAAAGGTTTTCTTGAAACAATATCTCCAGTGTGTTGATTTCGATTATTTTCTGCCTTCCTTATGAAAAATTTCTCCCAACAATATACTGAAGAAAAGCTACATTTTTAGAATGAACTGATTAAACAATTTTTAATATACATGTATTTTGAAATCAATCAACACAATTAAAGTAATTATATCTAGGAGGCAGGCTGCAATAAACCTCTTTATGAGGGCTGCAGGTGATAGTGCCGAACAAAAACAAATGCAAGCTGTGTCGACCAAGGAAAACCAGGGCTAAACTGCTCAGATTAAAAGATCGAAACCGAGCTGAGAGCAAAGAAGGAATCAATTTCCTGCCTTGTGGGGTCAATTTCCTGCCTTGTCAAATAATGAAAAAGCAAAGCAAATCAATGCTTATTATCTTTTCTTTCCAAAGAAATCGGAAAGGTTTTCTTTTTAAAAAAGTGCCTTTAATATGCTAATTGGAAATATTATAAAAACTTTAACACCAAATCTCCATAATTTGAAACATTGATATACGAGGCGGACTGCTTCGGTCACGTTTTTCGGGATCCCGTGAGACGCAACATGGAAGAAAGGCGGCGTTTCGGTAAAGAGAAGCACATCGACACGACAACGATCGTACAGTGTAGGGGAAGAAGAAAGACAGATAGACAGAAACAACGGAGGTAAAGAAAAGAAGTAGGACCTACCGGAGGCGCCTTCTAGCCACCCATAGTAAGACGAAGCCACTCCTCTAAAAAATACCTTCCAAGCGTGAGAATCGGTTGCATAAAAGACAACGCGCCTAGCCAGTACGAATTTAGCATTTGTGGGTGTAGCAGTTACGCTCTTCGCTGTCGCATGTAGATGGCGTGAGTTTGATTCGTTCGTAATAGAGAAGGGTTTTTTGTTTTTTGTTGTTGTTGGTTATTTTGTTGTTGTTGTTGTTTGTTGTTATTGTTGTTTGTTTGTTGTTGTATTTTTGTTTGTTTGTTTGCTTTTTTTTTTATTGGGGGGGGGGGTCATGTATCTCAGTCTGTCTGTTGGGACCTTGTATCCTTTTAAACCTGGGGTGGGAATGAAATGCAGGGCCGGCCGAAGTAGCCCAAGTCCTAAATGATCTAGATTTTCATAATGAGAGCATATAAGGCCCCGATCACCCTAAGAAAATGTCCACTCATTGCACAGTTATGAGTAAGCAAATGGTTCAACTCTCGCCCGTTGGTCTCTCTTCACCTCCAAGTGATGCAATACTTTGCAGACGCATGACGAGTGAAAATTTTCCTCGCGTGCTCAGGGCCTTGACCCAATGGACCCGAGACCCCGATATATCGGGGTGCAGCTGAAATCTTCATGCACAGAGACCCCGATATATCGGAAAGGGGGGGGGGAGCAACTTAAATGTCCAAGCACCGATACCCCATTATTTCAGAGTTTGGATTGACTTGTTTAGACCACACACCTTCCCAGGAAGTAGACAGATTGGCGCTCAACGCAGAAGTACTGGAGAAAGGAGGGTAGGAACAGTTTCATTACTTTAAGCATGTTTTTGCATGAGTACTAAAACAATTGGCATGCTTGGGTGTTTGTTTGTTTGTTGTTGTTTGTTGTTGGGTTTGTTTGTTTGTTGTTGTTGTGGTTTTGTTTTTTTGTGGGACGGGAGGTTCCTGGGAGCCCAGAGGGGGTGGGGTTAGGCCTGTGAGCCTAGGGTTCATTGGGTTAAACATCACAAATAGCCTGCGCTGACGTCGGTAATCAAGGCCTAAAACAAATGAAAGGTAGAGAGGAACATCGCACAAGCTCTTTTTAGTGGAGATCCAGCTCACCTATGTGTGTAACGACACCGCGGAACCAGATGCTCGTCAATTTTTAGGTATGGTAATATGGAGTTACCGGTATCACCTTTAGTCTTTTCTTTCGCCTTGCCTTTGAAGCAAAAATACTCTTCTATCTTGAAAAGAAATCGAGCTATTTTCGATTGAAGGAGGTGGTGTCAATGGAAAATTAGCGAGAAAAAGCCCGCAAAAGTATGGTGAATACAAAGTTTAAGCGTCCTTGGAAACAGCAAGTGTGTGTTTTATTACTTTCATTTCCGTTTGTTTTTTTTAAAGTAAAAACACACACTGACATGTATTTTATATGGATATAAAAGATTTTGAATTCCCCCCCCCCCCCCAAAAAAAAATCAAAATGATAAAAATTGCCCAACGGCGAAAAATGTCGGTTTCTCCGATTTCAATATTTTAATGAGCACCTTTTTTCATAATGATTCCACACACATAATGCGTGTTTCACAGACAACAGCATCAGATCAATAGGTTTTAATACATTAAGAGACGTCAGTACAACCCCGCATTCCATATTATCTTGTTTCCTGTCTGAGACTGATGGTGTCATATGTCTCCTATCAAAGCAAACGTTCTTTTCGAAGGTTTCACCACACTGTCTGTCTGTCTGTTTGTATCTCTCTCTCTCTCTCTCTCTCTCTCTCTCTC